TACAGGCCGAAGGACATCATGCAAGATATTCGTGAGGAGTACGGTGTAAATATGAGTTACGACAAGGCCTGGCGTTCGAGCGAAGAAGCACTCCGACTTATCAGAAGGGATCCAGCTTCATCGTACGGGCTACTACCYGCTTATGGRGAAGCCGTGAAAATCATGAATCCARGTACTATATTTRAATTGGAGTTGGATGATAGYAAGTACTTCAAATATGTCTTCATRGCCATGGGTCAATCAATTAGAGGTTTTATGTGTTGCATTCGACCAGTTTTGGTTATTGACGGGGCACACCTTAAAGGGAAGTACGGAGGTGTATTACTAACTGCTTCTGCTGTTGATGCGAATAACCAAATATACCCAGTTGCTTTTGCAATAGTCGGGAGTGAGAGCGTCGCATCATGGGTATGGTTTATGACTCAATTGAAGAGTGTTGTCGACACCGTTCAGAATTTGGTCTTCATTTCTGAACGACATGCCGCCATTTGTAAAGCGATTGATGAGGTATTTCCTACTGCATTTCATTGCTTTTGTATACATCATCTAAAGATGGACTTGCTGGCCAAATTTAAAACGCCCGCGTTGGAGGAATTATTTTTTAAGGCTGCTAAGGCATTTCGCGAGTCATATTTCAATGAGAACTGGGTTCAACTGTGCGCATATCCAGGAGTGAGGGAATATCTGGAAGCTATAGAAAAGGAACGATGGGCTCGCTGCTTTCAGATGAAACTAAGATACTCACAAATGACCACCAATATTGCAGAGTCCGTTAATGCCCTTTTCAGGCATGCACGTAAGTTGCCAGTCACCGCATTACTTGATCATATCAGAGGTGTGTTGTAGAGGTGGTTCTACGAACGTCGGACGCTTGCTTCTTCACGTCAGAGTACGTTGTCTGACTACGCAGAGGAAATGATTGCCAAAGCTTCGGATAATGCACGGAGACACATTGTTATGAACATCGACCAGTTTAATTTTGAGGTACGCGACGGGAACCTCAATGGGGACGTTGACTTGCAATCGCAGACGTGTACTTGTCGGGAGTTCGATTATTTTAAAGTCTCGTGCTCCGATGCTATTGCTGCAGCCAGTTCTCGTAGCATAAATCCGTACACACTATGCGATGAGGTGTACACGGTCAACAGCTGGATGTTGGCATATGCAGAACCAATATTTCCAGTGGGTTCGTCCTCAACATGGAAGAGTTCTCCGGGGTTTGTGAATATCGATGTTCAACCACCAAAGAAGGTTGTTAGGGTTGGACGGCGACAGACGGTGAAGATTCCTTCCACAGGCGAGGTCCGTCCACCGCGCAACTGCAGTCGATGTGGTACGTCGGGGCACAATCGTAAAACTTGTCGCGAACCACTAAATACTGTGTAGCAATATTATGGCTATTTACATTGTAATATGTAGACATTTATGTACCTCAAACAAAAATTTATTAGAAGGACTAATACATTGTATTTTGGTAGATATGAATAGGTTGCTTGTACCACAAGTAAGAATCCATGCACATGCATGAACAATAGGTTGCTATTTTTTCATATATGATTACAAACGTGTTTTATGTTATGTTACTGTTCATCAGTGACTACAGCTAAAAATAAGTATGCTAAAACAAATTATGATAGGTCATATTTAGGTCGGGGGAAAAAAAATCGATACAAAGAATAATTAGAACTAAAAAAAGGGTCTGCGAGCCCACATTTGTACAGCATATTGACGACGAAATAAAGAAATGTTACTTTGAGTCAAAGTGTCCATCTTTGACCCAGTTACATCGTACT